TTACAGACAACCTGGATTATAGGTACTGTGATTTGTCTTTCCACCAAACCAAAGAAATCAGCCAGGAAGCTTGCTGACTTCTCTGAATGGTGAGCTGAGAGCGGGGCTAAAAACAAACAAAGTCCCCTCAGAGCGCATGTGCCCATATAAGCTCCCGTATACCCCGTGCTCGGCAGCAGCAGAATGGGAGGCAGACTCTAATTCCAGTCCGTCAGGGGCATTAACTCTAAGCACAGGGATGACGCTAAACTCCCCCTCACACGTGAGAGACTTAAGCAGAGGTATACGCAGTGAGACAGACAATCTGTATTGCAGAAATGTAAACAGCTGCACTGACAGTTTCCTTTCTCAATTTGTGTTTAAATGGCACGCAGACTCTAATTCCAGCTATTATACATTATATATACAGTATATGTGGCTATATTAACAGATTTCAGTGTAAATAAAAAGTTTATCTCTAATACAGTAGATGCTTTGATTGATAATAACAAGATTGATTCATTTTGTTTATTAGCAAAAACTGCTGAATATAAAAAGTGGATCAAAGCAATTGAATTAAACTCACTGCTCAGAGCAGATTTCAACTTCCCATGCTGGATGACTAGCCTCATCAGCTACGTTTTGCTGGTAACAATGTGATTTTGTTAGTCTAACAGCTAGACCAGCACCAAACCAGAATAAACTAGCCTGGACCAGCATGGAAATTCACATTTGTCTGAGCTATATCTTTTTCGGCAGTGTCTGAGAGACTATAAATTGATGTTTACATAAATTGATGTTTTAGGAGACCACCTGGACAAATGTTAAGGCAAACTGTGATAAAAAAAAATGTTTTTGAGAAAACATACCATCACTGGAAGCAAGGCCACCAGGTAAGATCCTCTTCACATAAACGCCATATTCCTCTCCTGTTAGTTCTTTCACACCACCGATCACTTTGATTCCTTAAGAAGAGACAAAGCATGCGTCACTCAAAGTAAAATATTATTCTTCCATGCTTTTGTTTAGTTGTTGATATTGTATTTTTCAGTCAAATAAATGTAAGCAAAACACAGAAATCATATCGCAGTTCTTTACAACAGGCTGCATGACTAATTTCATTACCAAATGAATGCCACTACATTGCCAGTATGCACTGACAATTTGATCACAGGTGACTGTGAAATGAGAGATCTGAACATTCACTATTGTTTTCTGACAAAACAGACTGTGATTCATCTAAACGAGAGGAGATAAAGCAGACTTATGATGTTTACCATGAACAATAGACAGCTTTACCTGATGCCTGCTGAAAGAGCTTTATCTCTCATTTGTTCCTATTTAGAAACCCAAAGCCGTTTTAATAGTTAAAAAAACATTCAGCATTTAATGTACTTTGTGCTGTGTGTAGATTGTAACATACACTATCATTCAAAAGTTCATAATGGGGGTCAGTATGATTAAAAAAAGAGAAAGAAATTAATACTTTTTTCAGCAAAGATGCATACAATTGATCAAAAGTGACAGTAAAAATATTTATAATGTTACTAAAGATTTCTATTTCTAATAAATGCAATTGTTTTGAACATTCTATTCATAAAAAAATCCTAAATACATGGTTTCCACAAAAGAATTAAGCAGCACAACTGTTTTCAACATTGATAATAATACGAAACATTTCTTGAGCATCAAATCAGCATATTAGATTAATTTCTGAAGAATCATGTGACACTGAAGAATGGAGTAATGACTGCTGAAAATTCAGCTTTACCATCACAGGAATAAATTATAAAAAAAAATTTTTTTAATTATATTAAAATAGAAAACAATTATTATTTTAAATTCTAATAATACTCTACAATACTGTTTTTACTTTACCCTAAAACTTTTGAACGGTATTGTACATTATATTATTTGTCACTTTGGTAAGGAAAATAATCCTAATGTAAATATGATAAATACTGCACCCCAGCTGCTGAAGGTGTGTTCCCATTTGTGTCTGATTTCAATTCTGATAATAGAGGACTTAAACAGCTTATGTTCAATTGAGTCTCGCTAAAGTAAGGATTTACAGCTGACTTGGGTCAGTATTACTTTTAAGTATTACACACATAGGACTTTCAGAGCTTCAGGTATTTGCCGTGAGATTTGCATCCCCCTGACGTCATCAAGTAGAGTGAAATGAGTTTATTGGATTTCAGGGGGCCACAGCAACTCCGTAAAGCTTCTGTAAATCTCCCTGGTGACAGAATGATCTTCCAGTAGTGATGTAAACTCTGTGCTGCACTGAATCGATTACTAAGTTCGTTAAACACACAAACCTGTTTCACTTCACTGAGGTTAAAGGTACTGAGGTTAAAAGTATCTTTAAAGAAAGTTTTACATCGACCAAAATGAACAGTACCCTTGAAATACATTTTAAAATCATGTGCACTCACATGAGATGAAGACTTCAGCCATACCAGTAGCCTAATAAAAACTCCCATATTGCACGTGAAGCAGGTCGCCTCATGGAGACTGCCATGTTGTGATCACATGACCTGCTAAAAACAATGCACTTTATCTCAATAACCTCTCTACACTGGAAACTTTCTCTCACAGAATAAATTAACTGCGTCTGACGGCAAATAGCACATTTTTAGAATGCCATCAAGCTTTTGCACAATGCTGCATCCACACCACTAGGTGTTGTTTTAAAAACAAGACGAGTCCAGCACAACATAAACAAAAATACTGAGTTGTGACAAAACGGAAGTAGCGACAGAGCTTTTCTTCCGTATCATGTCTTACGTCCGAGTGAAACGGAAGGGTGGGGACTTGGTTCTATGCATCGGTTATTGACTGGACGAAAGAAGATTTGAATGTGAGCTTGAGGTTGACTGTAAGAAAGGGGCGGGTTTTAAGCAGGCGAAATGATTGGAGACGCCCGAAATACGTTGACAGAGAGAAATCACCCAAAGAACCAGGTATGTGGTCAAAAAACCAACATATGCATAAATGAATTTGTTCACAGTAAGATCAATAACATGTAATAAAAAATAGATAAACTTAGGGCTCATCTAAAAAAATAATATTGAATAAATTCATTGCCTAGATGCCAATGTGAAAGGATGGCAGATCCTTTATTTGAGAGAGTAACTGCAAATCAATGTTGTCAGGCCATTAATTGTTGAAACAACAGGAACGAGCTTTGATGCCAACAAAACATGAAAGCCTTTAATGAGATGAGCATCTTTCATACACTCTCAGAAAAAAAGGTACAAAATCTGTCACTGGGGCGGTACCTTTTCAAAAGGCACACCTTTGTACCTAAACAGTCCATATTGGTACCTTAAAGGTACATATTAGTACCTAAAGTGTACAGTACATATTAGTACATAAAAGGTACAAAAGTGTACCTTTTGAAAAGGTACTGCCCCAGTGACAGCTTTTGTACATTTTTTTCTGAGAGTGTACCCAAACCTGTGGAAGATTCATTTGCAGGCAGTTCAGAAGCATAATACATGCTAAAAGAAAAGACACTTCCCCTGATGGACAGTACAGATGCTTTAGATTCGCTTTTGGTCACACAGTTTAGTCATACTCATGGAATAATAAATATCCTCTTTTTGCTTCAGGCTTATCTGGTATTAATAGACAGACAATGTATTGGCACTAATTGAGTTTTGAGCTGGCATTGCACATAGATTCACTTCAAGATAAATCTTGAAAACACTTTAATGAGAAGAACAGCAACCCGGTTATCCACAAAGTGTGTTCTGAACTAAACTCAAACTAAAAAAATTTCATATAACTCAAAAATAAATGCAAAGTAAGGACTGTGTCCTGGAAAAACCCTCGAATGCTTATCACAGTGTCACACTTAAGTCTGTACATGATAGCGCTGCAAATATGTGTTGTAAAATATTTCATTTATCGGTGCTGTTTTTATCCAGAGCACCACTTCCTGAGTCTGTATTCATGAAAATGTCTCCTAAAACAGAATCGTCTTGTAACACAATGGATTGTTGACTGTGCAAGTTGGGATGTAAGAAGGACAGGTTTAAGGAGCTTAGAGCTGCCTTCAAATAATGTTTTTGATCTATTGTGAAGAGGGAGATCAGGCTGCGGAATAAATATAAAAAAGACAGCGCAAGACTTGAAAGACTGGAAATAAACCGTACCCTAAACCTATCCCATCGCTTCGCTCCAAGACTCCACCATACACCTTATTTCACTTCCCCATGGCCATTAGAGATCAGAGACGCATGCTGTACAATAGGCCTCATTAAAATCGACTAGAAGATGTGCTGCTCCATAACTTTCTTATGTCTTGAGTAATTCTTATTTACCCTTCAGTCTCAATCCGCACCCTTCTATGAGAGCATTTATTAAAAGGGTCATATGATGCTTTTTTTGCACAATCAGCTTGTAACACTCCAAAGAGAAAGGAAAACTTGAAATCGCATCATATGACCCCTTTAAAAAATATGACTTCTAGAGTGGTCTGCAAAGATTGAAGACAGAGTGTTCTGATAGAAGATCTGATGGAATCTTTGGTATTATACAAACACACAAATGTACAATGAAATTAATATGTTATGAGGCACTTACCTAATCCATTCTCACAGTCTGTAAACTCCATAGAATGCACTGCTCGATCTACTCCATATGGACCCATCAGTGTCCTGTGCAGGACAAAGAAAATTTTGTTAAAACATGCAAAAATAATGCAGTAACATAGTGAGACTTGTTTGATTCATAGAAATAAACAAGGTCCTATAATTTTTTGTTGTTGTTTTGTTTTGTTTTTGTGTTGTTTTTTTAAACTTATCTCTAAATTCAGTTAAATTTGAAGCTGGTGACTCAATTCTGAATATTGTAAAAAAAATAAAATAAATAAATAAAATACACTGTGAGTTTATGTGTGGGGTGAATTTGCTGTACTCGCTGTGCCTGTGAACTGTTATTAGTATCAAGCCCAGTTCTTTCCAGTGGGGAGTCATAAATTATTTAGCATGAATGTCCTGCTTTGGACAGGCTACTAAAATGGACTCTTTTTCTCATGAACTCTGTGTGTGATTCTGATTTTTGAGATTATGTTTTACGTCGCTACTCAAGTCATTAAGTAAAATGAATTCATTAAAGAACCCAATTCTTTTGGCAGTGGAAACACTGTTTTCATGCAGTTGTAGGAATGAATATAATGAAGTCTCTGACATTCTTAGGGCATTTTGTTGTGACTTACCAGCACTACACCAGAAAAATTACATGCTTCCACCACAATCCAGCCTTTCCTGCAGGCTCACTGCAATGTCCTTGAAATTGTACTTCAGATTGTCTGAACCTAAGACTTCATCTGAGGCTTCAATTCAAGCTAAACATGCTTCACAAGAGTTACGTAACAAAGAGTGTCCACTGTCCCCAGCACAGTCCCCTCTAAAATAGACTTTTAAAATAGTAGGGAGTCAGCGGAAATCATATATATATATATATATATATATTAGGGCTGTTAAAGTTAACCTAGCGACTTCTGATATTAATTAAATGGTTAATGCATTAATTCAAATATATGAATTAAATATTTTTAATGCAATCAAAAAGAATGTTATATTATTTTTATTCAAAAACGGGTCAGAAATCCTAGGACTAATCATGGTTATTTTATTCTAATAAGAAATTTAAAAAAACAAAAAACAAATGGGTTTCTGAGAGTTCATCAAATGTTTATACATACGTTCAAGAATATTTAGTACTTGTTTTGTATCTTTTTTTGATTTTGATAAATATCATGCTTAATATAGTTCTCACATATGGTCTTTACACATGAAAATGTCCAGCTGCCTTTATATTTTACAAAGTGGGTCCCTTGCAAACGGATTATCATTTTGGGTGGGTTCTTGTCATCAAAAAGTTTGAAAACTAAAACAAACAAACAAAAAAGCATATAACAAAGTTTTATGAATTCCATGAGGTATGTATGAATGGATTTAGTGAGTACGCACAAATACATTATAATCTCCAGGTGATTAGAGCACATTAATAGTACATCCTTTACAGTGTTGTGGATTCTTTAAAGCATAGCGGGCAAATGAAATCAAACATGCCCTTTCCACAGTATAACTGCAGTCAAAGCAATTTATATATACGATGGAATGGTGAAGTAACCGTCGTTCAACACTTTTTACCCACGTTTTCCATTCTCTCACCAGTTACATTAGAAAGTCCGCGAGCACCATTGTTTGGGGACACACCTGAGCACAGCCCAGTTGCCACAAAGTACCCAAAAGTCACCAAAACCGTCAGTAGCGGACAAAGTGAAGACGCGCGTTATGTCGACGCTTCTCTCAAGACTGCTCAAGCGCATTTTACTCACTGGAGCTAAGGAGATGGAAAAAAGAGCCATGACGCCGCTCAACTACCAGAAAATTACAAAACAAAGGTTTTTACCTGCTAATCATGACGGCTCCCTTGTACATGACCGAAAATGTAGGCATTTTCAAGAGATTTTTGCGCATCCAGCGACGTGTATAGTATGCCCATTCCTCTCGTGATCAGCGCCTCGCGGAGGTCCGATACAGCGCGAGCCACATGATTCACTGCTACAGCCCTCTAATACAGATGGTCCTAAACATCACCAACTTTGCCCACAGATTAAAATCTTATGCAACAGAAATGGTGGGGGGGGGTAGTGTTTTTGATATAGATATTTTTTTGCCATTGTTTAACAATAACTGGAACAGGTGGTTCCCAAACAGAAAGCCAAATATTTACATTTATGAATGGAATTTAAAGGCTTAAAGGTGGTATGATATACAAAGCGTTGATGACATTAAGCTATTTCAATCCAATAGGTCTTTCAAGGACGTCAGGCTGAACTGTAGGCCTATAGAAATAGGGTGAATTCGGGTAATCTGGGAAAGCTTTATGAAAAAAATGACAAGTACAGAAATCTCAATAAGGAAATGTATATTTCAATATCAGGAAAAATAATTTCTTTCTGTACACAGGATGAACAATCTACTGTGTTAATTCATTTTAATTCATTTAAAACTATTAAAATTGTTTAACATTTGTTTAACATTGTATTAACATATTAAATAATCAACTAAAATTTAATAAGTCATGTGATTTCAGTCACATGACATCTATGCTAAAATTATAGTAAAAGTCCTGTTGACTAAATTTTGTTAGAACAGGAAATAAACACACTGGAGTTTAGGTGTCCCAGATTACCCGAATTCACCCTATTGAAAAGTCTTTTGCATCAGATCAAACCTGATATGGGAATTAAAACTGACAAGCTAATCTCTTGGGTCTTCAAACAAGACACAGGTTATGCAAAACAAAATATTACCACTGAAACACATCATGATGAAGCCCACAGTCTAGTGAAGAAATAGATAAAATGTGATGCAATAAAGTGTAAAAAAATGTTGTTGGGTAATCTAAAACGTGATGCATGTGGTAATTTAAGTGTAAAATATTTAATATGAATAAATCAACCTTACTACACTTGGTTACACCAACAAACGTCATTGGTAAAAGTCTGATTAGACAGTATAGCATATTTTTACTTTTTACAGTATACTGAAGGATGGCTGTGATTTCTTAACTTCCTGATGATGTGGAATCACACTGCCACTGTAGTTATTTTATGAGTCAGGGAAAAATGGAAAAACAGGAATCGCTGATGCTTAGGGGAAAAAACAACATTTGTGCAAAGAACTCTAAATCCTTGTCAACTCAGAAAGACATATTTAATCTCTCGACCGTTTCCATTTTTAGCCAGCGTTATTGTCTATGGTCATCCCATGCAAAGCTAGAGTGCTTTCTTCTCACACTGCAATCAGATTTATACACACATGCTTGAGGTAAAATTACACAATAGCTGGATTGCACTGTCCAAATTTACTCAGGTTTTTGTATTCTTACAATATCATGTGTAATGTTTTCAACTCTTTATGTTTAGTGGGCTTAAAAAACATTCTTTGAAATGACTAACTGCATTCATAATGTAATGAAGTGACTACCTGTTAAAAGAGATTATTGTCATTTAGTGCTCAACAAATAGTGTTGCTTGTGCCCTAGTTAGAGTCAGAGTGACACTTTGCCTTAAATGCATTGTCACCATGTAACTCCTCAATGTCATTTACCTCGACACATGTCCTGTGACTCAGAGACCACTTTTTTATCAGCAACTACAATCCAAAACAAGTCACACAAGGTTGTACCAAAAGCTGCTGAAGTCTGGAATACACAACACAACTTTTAAAATCTGAACTGACTTTAAAACACTGGGCTGCATCATACACTTACCGACTTTGTAAACAGTCACAAAGGAAAAACTGGCCATCATACACTAAACGACTGAGGATCACGCACCACCAGACTTTAAAGTCGTTCCAATCTCAACAAACTCACACAGAAATGTGCACCTTGTTGCTAGGAGACACATGACAAATGAAAACAATATGTGTTCTAAAACTGTCTGAACATTTAAAAAAAATTTGTCTGAAGCTAAAGAATCGGAGTCTGAACCCATCACACATTATGCAATTTTCTATGAAATCTGTCAACTTAAATCTGCAGACTGGCTCTGCAGATTTGAGGCTAGCTGCAAAACTTCTACAGACTGTAAATCAGGGAAAAGTTGAGTAGTGTATTCCAGCCTTTAGAAGTGTGCTTTCTTTAGTTTTTTATGCCTGTTGTTTGTGTTGTAGTAAACAGAATGCTACATCTTGGATATTGTTACCAGGCAAAGTGAAAAAATGTGCATCAGATGTTACGGTCTTATTTATCAATGTAAATAATGTATCTGTTACTTCCACTATCACAAAGTTCCTGTGATAGTCACAGTGTGACCGGACTAAGCCTTTATTGTGCCAAATTCACAGGCTGTAATGATGTAATTTGAGGATTAGCTTTTACACACCCGGCCATGATAAGCTTTATTTTCAAAATTATCACACCAAACTACACTGACTCAAAACACTCTGTCTGGCTTGCCTTAAATTTCTCCTGTAAATCCTCTCATGAGGTTAATATGTCAAGTGTGATTTGCACATTCACATATCAAGTCATGACTGGCCAGAGTACTTTTGTGCACAATAATCTGCTAGGACAACCTGTCAATCAAACACGTGCAGAGCCAGGTCATGGTCCCATGAGACCCTTGGTCCCCCAAACCTCAACCGCCCCTCTTCACAGACGCCTTATCCTACATTAAACAACAAGAGAGTAATTTGGCTAAAAAAACAGTTTAATTAAATTAAAAAGAAATGTGTTTTAGTACAGTAAAATGAAACAAATATTAAAAATTAAAAATAGTAGCATTCCAGTGTGTATTACTGCTGAAATGTTTAGAAAAATATTTTACTGTGGGAGATAGATGTGCAATCTGTTTGATTGGTTTTACTATTGTGTACCTTGGCATTGATGATTTAGTTGATGCAACATTGAAAGTACATCTTTAAAAAAAGGTGACAGGACCTTAAATGCAGAGTAGGTGATTTGGTTCGAAAACATTTTTTATTATGCTGATTGAATGTCTTTTCACATCCCAATAGCAATCATTAAGTTAAGTGGTCTAAATATATTTATATGTGTTTATATCGTCTAAGGAAGGTGTAGGACCATAAAATGTTCGTCCAATCATATCCCTCGCTCCGAGGGCTACTATAGGCTGTCCTGCCTGCCTGTCAACGTATATATTTGAATACCACCACGCACCCTGTTCGCGCATACATGATACTTCATCAGTGTGTTCCATTACTCTATTGCAGAGCGAGCTTTTTTATTGTAATATTATGCGCTGTGTACTGTAATGTTTTCTCACTGCTGAATGAGACATGAGGTAATCTGACAGCGTTGCATCCAACCCTCCACCAACGCCGTCTCTCATCGTGACACTGTTTAGCCTCTGGTCTGCCTGTGCGCATTCATGTATTTTGTAGGAGGCGTGGCTTTGCAGAGTGATTATGCTGGGAGGGTGGGATCTTGATTTCAAAGCTAGCATGCTATTGCTACCCCAGGGATCCTCAAATCTGGCCCACGGGATCCACTTTCCCGCACAGTTTAGCTCTAACCCTAATCAAACACACCTGAGCATGCGCTAATCAATGTCTTCAGGATCATTAGAAAATCACAGGTAGGTGTGTTTGAGTAGGGTTGGAGCTAAACTCTGTAGCGCATTGGTCCTCCAGGGAAAGATTTGAGGAACCCTGGCCTACCCTTACCTTTAAAAGGATAGTTGACCCAAAAATATATTTTTTTTAAATATTAAATCCCTCATGTAGTTCAAAAACTGTATAACTTTCGATCTTCTGTGGAACATAAAAGTAAATAAATGTCTCATTGTTGACATGAGGGTGAGTAAATTATGTCAGAATTTGTTAAAAATTTAAGTACCCTCACTAAGGTCTATAAGGCGGTATTTTGACCAAAACTATCTGACACTGAACACAGCAAATGCAAGGTATAAATAGGCACTGGGAAGGAGCAGGTGCTGCCAATATGATCAGGCTGCCAGTGCGCAAGTTGCTAGGCAACGCTGACGAGCGAATCAGACCAGCGTCAGAAACACAACACAAGGCATGAATGAACACGTGGATCTGCGAACGGTGATATTACCCCTCCCCCTAGGAGCACCTCCTGGCGCCTCTGAGGGAACTTACCTGGCGATTGTAATCATCATAAGGGAGTGATCCAGAATGTCTCTCACAGGAACCCAACTTCTCTCCTCTGGACCATAACCTTCCCAGTCCACCTCGAGTCCAGAATACATTTGATCAAATATACAGGTTACCCATCTACAAGTCGCGGCATCGGGGGAACTAGGGAAGGCGGATTAATGGCAGAATAAAATATGGGTTTTAATTTGGATACATAGAAGATGGGATGAATTCTCCCGTACGCCGGAGAAAGTTTGAGGCAGACAGTCACCGGACTAAGGATTTTGGTGACAGTGAACGGACCAATAAATTCAGGAGCAAGTTTACTACAGACGGTGCGGAGAGGAATGTTCTTAGAAGAAAGACACATTTTTTGACCAACAACATGGATGGGAGGCTTCGACCGGTGGCGATCGGCCTGGGCCTTGGTGCGTGAGCCCACCTGGAGGAGTTTCTGTCTGGCTTTCCTCCAGGTGTGTCGGCAAGACTGGTTCTGTGAAACCAAACATCGTAGAATGCACACCAAGTCTTGGCTGGCTCTCTCAGTTTGGCCATTACTCTGAGGATAGAAACCAGAGGAAAGACTAACACTCGTCCCCAACAAACGACAAAACTCCCTCCAGAATTTGGAGATGAACTGGGGCCCCCTATCAGAAACCACGTCCATCGGGAGGCCATGAATGCGAAAAACATGGTCAATGATCGTAACCGCTGTCTCTCTGGCAGAAAGTAATTTGGGCAGAGGAATAAAATGGGTTGCCTTCCAGAACCGGTCCACCACGGTCAAAATTACCATGTTAGGGAGGGAGGGAGACCCGTGACGAATTCTAGTGCAATGTGGGAACAAGGTCTCGAAGGAAACAACAGCGGTCGATTGGGAGTCTTACAACTATAATAGACTGAGCAGGCCAAAAAAAAAAAGACAAATG